TTTAAACTTCTGCAAAACGGTTTTATATAATAATGTGCTGTTTCTACGATTTTTTTTTTTTTTGTATTTTTAATATTTATGTTTTTTTTGTTGTTGTTTCTTAGCTTTTTATCCATTTTAAACTATTAAATATTTTAATACCCTAAATAGGCAATGAATTTTTTTCCTTTTTATGGATGAATACATTTGATTTTGACTTTGAATGATCTTGTAACAACATATTTAGGAGTTCAGAATAAAATATATGAAGGTGTAGATTTAATTGCATTAATGACGTCAAATTTTATTGCACATTCATGTTTTAATGATACCTTCATTGAACATGCTAAAAATTATAACCATTTTCTTGAGGTCATGACCTTTTCGTTGATAAAAATTGTGTATTGTTACTTTCCTATTCAGTCTTGTATAATCGTTCCCATATGTGTTACACTTATATTTCTCAAATACCTGCTTGGTATTTCTATTGCTGGGCATCTTGTCAAGTTCTATATAATCTTTTTTTTTACTTCTCATGATCAAAAAAGAATGTCCTTTTTGGTGAGTGATGGTTGTTGTTTGTGTTTATTTATTCAGTTGTCAGATTCAAATCCGTTGGGTATAAACAGGATTTTAGAGATTCACTTTGAAATTAATTTTTATTTCTTTCACATGCGTACAACGGCCACTTGCCAATTACTGGCTGGAACTATGCGATGGTCTGTGAGCCTCAAGTAGAACTGTAGCTTAGTGCTTAAGATTTTTTTCTCTATTGACCTCAGGAACCTAGGTTCAAATCCAGTATAATCCAAGATATTTTCTCCCTTCCCCCCCTCCACTTCTCCCTCCCGCAAAACAAGTTAAACAGTGTTCGCATTTAATTTGATTTTGACCAAGACAAAGGGTAACTTTACCATCACTAAATAGTACTGCTGTTTGCATTTGGATATTATAATATACGTACCAGGTTTTACCAAGAATGTCTTTTCAAGGAGGAACCCAAAATACTGGTATATAATGTTTTAAAAGGTCACTTTTTTACACCATAAACTATGTATTTCAGCCCATTGGTTTCCATTTTTATAAACCAAATGCATGGGAGTGACGGTGACTGATGTTTGCCAATAAAATTTTAGAATTATTTTGGGAACACAAGATATTTTTTGGGGCATAAATGATGGTAATGATTATGCTACTAATGATAATGACGAAATGTTGCATTATTTCTGTATGGCCTGAAAAGATTGGATGAGTCTTCATTTGACTGCTAGTATGTTTCAAAAACTGATAATATCATAATCTATGATAAAAATATGAATTTTCATGTGACTTTATTTGAAACTAATGCTGTACAATATATCCAGCAATAAAATATACGGTAAAGCAGAATTCCGAGGATAACAAAAAAGTTAAAAATTATTTCTATTGTGGTCCTTATGAAGATTATAGGCTTGAAAGTAGCAGATTTGTGGTTAGCATTTAACAAAATAAATAGTTTTAAAGGCTTAAATATTGTTATAATTTTTTTTTTTTATTGACATTTACAGCTCAATTAAATGCAAAATAGTCTGAAACTTATTGATTCTATACCAGGCCTTTCATTGTTTGACCTTCTTAATTTGAATACAATGCTGTAGATTGCTAGAGGAAAGCATTGTGTTACTGCGGTTGCTGCCACCAGGCTTGTTTACTGAATTCTACATTTTCTGACAATGGCTATACTGTATTGATTTACTGCACAAAAAATATCTCTGCTGGTATTTTCAATCTCCTGTTCTGGAAATGGAAATCGACTTGTATATAGCGCCTTACACAATTAAAAAATCATCTCAAAATGCTTAAAGAATATGAAAAAGAAAAGAAGAAAAGTATTACACCTGAACTATCCTAAAACTAATCAGTAACAATTTACCAAAGAATCGAAGAATGAACCAGTAACACTGTATCGTTCCCTAGCAATTTGAGACAAATGTTACTAAACTCAATAAATTACTGTATAATTATACTATAATACTATTGTGTAATTCTAATAATAGAAATGATGACAATGATTACTATATTCAATTCATTTATAATATACCATAACAACATTTTATTCTGGTTCTCTCTGTTCATTGGTATTGACTTACATAAAATACACGTTTTTTTTTTATAAGAACACATTTTATAAGAGGACTGAAGCTGAAATTGCTTAAACAATAAGAATAAAAGAAGAACAAATTGAGGCTGAGGTATAATATCAAATGAGATTTTTATGAAAAAAACTAACAAAAAAAAAACTAACAAAAAACAAAAAACAAAACAACAAATCAGGCTAGTTACATAGAGTAAAGTATTAATTAATGTTTTTAAAAAGTTATATCAACATTATATCTACTCTATTAATGTCATCAAATGTGATCTTAATCTGAAGTTCTATCAACGACACAAAATCCTCTGCTAATCATGTGCTGAAATTTTCCCCTCAAACCAGCCGTTCCATACCGCCGTGTCTTTCTACCAGCAAGGGGGTTCACTGATTGTATGGTAGGGTGAAAAATAAAAACAAAATAAGCACATTTTGAGCCTGAAATAGGCAAAATAATTCAGCAGAACGCAGAGCCAGGTAAAATTTTAATGGTTCTTATGAAATAAAGTGTAAGGCTTATCTGTTTTGAGGTGAGTTTTTGGCATGAAATTGAAAGTAGAGAGTAACAGTTTGTTTTTCTGCATTACTGTACCAAATATTGTCTGCACATCTGCACGTTTCTTGGCAAGGGAAACAATAGGACACCCCCTAAAGATAACATCGGCATTCTGACAAACATACGTAGTTGTGGCCAAGCAACTTGCCAGCATTGCTTGTTGGTCAAGGTCTCTGGATGTCAACAAACTGTGCTGTATTCAACTGCTCATTCATTTTGTGTATCCTATATCACACCTGATATGGATAAAATTTGTTGCATTACCTTATAGTTAAGGGAATCTCAGTCAAGCTTTATTATGATAAAATTAGTAGACACACATTGAGAATGGTTTTTGTTTGCTTATTCTTTCTATTCTGCATCAACTTTTAAAACCAAAATAAACACTTCTAAAGACCTTGACCTTAAGGCTTTCAGCAGGGAAGTTAGTAAATATATGATTACTAAATTTTAAAAATCTCCTTGTCAATGTTTCTGCTAGAGAACAGGGAATTTGAAAGGTCTATAAATTACATAAAAATAAGGGAAATGAAAGAATGTAAGAAGATACATATCATTTTCAGCCGTGGCTAATGGAGGGATCCCTGCTGGCATAGCATATCTACTTACTGGTATCCCAGACCTATACTTCCTAGATTCATTTAATCTCTTACTCCCCTTCCCCCTCCCCTCCCCTC